TTTTAAGCATAACTTATCATTATCACCCAGTGAAGACAAATACGAGGTTACCCTGGACACATCCCATGTTGAAGAATATCTTGGTTTGCACGGTCGTTCATTAGAAATGCCTTTCATTAGTCGCATAACGAGAGGATGTTGCCCAACCGGCTTGCCATCTATCCATGGGTGTACGGATGATATGGCAGAACGAAGGACGTTTATGGTAGGGTATTGGAGATTGTTATCGAATTGATCGCTTAGGAAACTTAATATATCTCTGATATTTGCTGAAATCGGATCGATTTGCCTTGTAGCACACCAGCTAATCCATTTGTTCCATGCGGAGTCGTAGGCCTTATTTGTCGACTGTCGTGTAGCAGAGGACAATAATCGGGTAACTCTTCCCGAAAAACCTTCTGCTGAGCAGCGTTGTTGGAGATGAGCCAAACGGCTAGCTGGAGTCTTGGATACATTGGGTGGATTGCCCCTAGGTTGGACGGATCCTCCAGGAGTGTTTGGGAGGATGGAAGGCACACTGGCAGGCGTATTGCCAGTTGTAATAACAGGGGCCACCAATGTTGTGCTTGCCAAATGGGGGCGACCAGGAGGAGAGTTGCATTGTCGTCCCTGACTTTCATTAGGGTTCGAGGGATCAGATTGAACGGGGGGAAAGCATAACCCCTCGTGGAGCCCCAATCCAGTGTGAATGCGTCCGTTGCATAAGCGTTGGGGTCCGGGCGCCAACTTACGTAGCGTGGTAATTGATTCGTTAGTCTCGTTGCAAACAGATCGATATCTCTGCTTCGCAGGAAAGGTTTTATTATCCCTGACTGTATTTTCCAATCGCTCGAGTCGACGAACACTCTCGACTCTTTGTCCGCTTGGACGTTCTCGGCCCCCGGGAGATATTCCGCCTTCAGGAAAATATTGTGTTGTAGACACCAATTCCATAGTTCTAATGTCAGAGACATCAACTCTGGGGAGCGGGTTCCGCCCTGGTTGTTTATGTACGAGACAGCTGTCGTGTTGTCTAGGCGGAGTTTTACTGCTATGTTCGCCTGATGTTTCAGGAATGATCGTATTGCAAGAAAGGCTGCCTTCAGTTCCAGAACATTTATGTGGAGGAGTCTCTCTTCGTGCGACCAACGTCCGTTGGTTGAAGAATTCCCGCACGTTGCGCCCCAGCCCATCTTGGAGGCGTCCGTTGTTATAGTCATTTCGGATGCAGGGGGACGAATCGGACTTCCGTTGACTCGATGGATATTCTGAATCCACCACTGCAGTTCGCCCAGGGCTGATCTTCTCAGATACACCAAACCCTGGTAACCCCCATTGTTTAACGTTACCCGCTCGATCAGGCACGACTGAAGGTGCCGGAAATGGAGAGGAGCAAGCCAAACCGCTGGCCGGCAAGACTCTAGGAAACCCAACAGTTGAGATAGCGTGTGTAATGATGTTGGATTCTCCCTCAGCAAGGATTTGCACAGGAGGGAGGTTTTCACTATTTTCTCTGGAGGTAAAGAGAACTTCATGGTGACTGAGTTGATTATAAATCCTAGAAACTCCAGGATCTGAGTTGGGACAAGAATCGACTTCTCGTAGTTGATTATAAACCCCAGATCGCGAAACAAATTTAGCACAACCTGTGTGTGTTGCTGTAAAATCACCGGGGATGACGCTACTAGAAGAATATCGTCCAAGTAGATCAGAAGTCTGATGTTGCGTGTGCGGAGGAAAGCTACGACTGGTTTGAGCAGTTTGGTGAACACACGTGGTGCCGTATTTAGACCGAATGGTAGGGCTTTGAACTGATAAACTTGGCCCTGGTAAATGAACCTCAGATATTTCTGTGAGTCGGGGTGAACGCTGATGGTTAGGTATGCATCTTTGAGGTCTAACTTGACCATAACATCTCTTGGGTTGATAATTTGTTTTGCACATAGCAAGTTTTCCATCTGAAAATGTTCGTTCTTACGAATTTGTTCAACTGACTGAGGTCTATGACGGGTCGAAATGAGCCTCCCTTTTTTGGGACAAGGAACATCCGACTGTAGAAACCCTTTCGGGAAAAATTTACGGGGATGATAGCCCCTTTGATTAGCAAATTTGTTATTTCCTCGTCCATTGCGTCCTCTGTGCACTTTGTTGGAGGAATAACTTTTTGATGCGGTTCCGACAGGAACTCCAGTTGATAACCCCGAACTGTGTTTAGAACCTGTTGGTCCTGAGTGATACTTTGCCACTGGTGAAGGAAAAGGGGCAGCCGAGCTGTTCGCTGAGACATTAGCGGGGCCAGTTGCGATTGTACTGGTCCCGCCTGCCACGAAAATTCTGGGGCTTAACATTAGCCGAAAAAGAGCCTCGCTGAGGCCTCGTTGACCTGTGTTGGGTAGGCTCCGGAAAATTATATTTGTTTGCTGGGCGGGCTAGTGCCGCGGAACCACCACCTGTAGGGTGTGGTTTTACATTGTATGGATGCTTTTGCAAGTTTTTAGTAAGGCTCCGCGATAACTCGGAATGCTTAGCTGCTAGGGAGGGCAAATCGTCCCCAAATAACATTTTCCCAGCATTGGGAAATTCACGATCAGCTAGTTGTGCCTTATCAGGATTAATCGCACCCAAAATCTTCTTCCGACGATTTGTTGTCACAATATGATTGGCAGAGCCCAACAAGCACAGCGATTGCTGTAGAGTGTTCAATAATTCCTCGTTAGAAATCGTGGCCTGATGTTCAAGGCGGTCATGTAGGCAACAAAGAGGGCCTGCTGAGTTTAGTAGTGCACGTTGAATAAGCGCCAAATCTTTGTCGCGTTGTTCGACGAATTTTTTTGCGATTAGCGGGAATGTAATTTAAAATCTGTTTGTCCAGTAAAGGAGCATTACAAGCGTCGATCTCAGGGAGAGAATTGTCTCCGATAATTTCGTTAACTTGGTCTAATGTTAGGCGTCTGCGCAAGTTTTTCTCAAGAAATTTGCCAAAGTGGTCTGAGGGAGACCATCGTCGTCGAGCGGAGCTCTCAGGGTCAAAAAACTCGCAAGAAGCTTCTTCTGCCGAAACGACAGTGTTCGGGTTAAATTTATCGTTTATATTTGTCGGCTCAGCGCCGTCTAAAGGTGGCATAGAGCCAACTAAAGGTGCCTCAAAGGCCGAGTTGTTGTCGAATTCCTTCGGCGAGTCCGATGGGTGAATTGACAATTGATCATCGTCGAATTCGCCAAGACCTGCTGAGGTTGTGCTAGCATTGTCGCTCAATTTCGACTCAATGGCCGATACACGAGTGGTCCAAGCCACAAATTGTTGCTTCATATCGTTGACACTCTCGAGGATTTTGGTCAAAGTTTCCTCGTTAACACGAGCTTCGGTGTTATTTTCCCGCCTTCGTTTGTGGCGATGAGCTCGATTTTCCGAGTCTTTTGGCGAAGATTTTTCGCTGGGAGAGGACATATGATCACTACGATGACGTTTCCGAGTTGAATTATCAGACATCCTAGAAAACTAAGGCTTGAAGGCAAGATAAAAACGTGAAATAAACGTAAAGACTTACCGTAAAAATGCAGAGTGTTACACGTGAGTGAGCACGGAAGAAAAAGCCGATGAGGCGCCGGGGGGGCACGTACTTATAGGCCGAGTCATGTGACCCGGGCTTGTTTTCTTTTTCTTTTCTCTTCATTTCCGGTTCCGGAAACGTTGAAATGTGAGTTAGAGCACGGTAAGACAAGCTTTACCATTTGTTTTCCCATATATTTCGACCGGAGTTTGTGAAGTATAATTCGAAACAATCAGTGGTTAATTCAGAATTATCGTAATCAATTTAAAATAAACAAAAAACGTAATTGGAGATAATCAATACCCAATTGAAAATAATCAGTAATCAGCTTGATGCGATTTATTTGAAATAATCAATTCAAAATTCATCTACGCGATCGACCAGTTAACAGTACCTCCGAGGACGAGAACCACCGTGTGGACCCTTCCGGTTTAGGTGATATTGGAGGCGGCTGGGAGGAGAAAACGCAGGCTATGTTAATTACTAAGTTACAACGGACCACATTTATTTTATCGACGAAAATAAATCAATGACAATATTCGGCATATCATTTCGTTGGTTTGCTAAAAAATTCAACCATTCACCCAGGAATTTAGAAAAAGAAAAATTTGAAAACATTTGTGCACGTTGACAAATCATAAAAACTAACAACGGAGCCACACGCCCATGCATATTTTAATATAATCCATGTGTCGTCCATCCTTCATCCTTCCAATTTTCGTGCTCATAAAAGCCGTTTTTCATTAATAAATAAAAAATTGATAGACATATTTTAGGTAAAAAGACTGCCACATGCACTAAGCTGAATATTTCTGTCTCAAAATCTATAGTTTCATAGGTTAAATTGGTTTGCCTTTACCGCATTCTCAAAATCTGACGTTTGGTTGCAATGTTAATTTGGGCCTGCGCGAAGGCCCACGGTTTTAATCCCGCTACAGATTTGAAATTGTATTGAGATGGCTCAAAATAAATGCCAATTCCAAGCCGTCAAAATTCAATGTTATATATATGAATTATGAAATTTGATGGTTTTGTTAGTTATGCGCTTGCGCGGAGTTTGTAAAGACTGGTAATCAGCAACTTCTTGATTGGTTAAAGCAAAATGTTTGTATTTCAATGAAAGCCTCAACAATTAACAGTCATTTTGCAAAATTTTGTCGCATTCATTTGTAAAAAAGTTTTAGAAACTTTTGTTCAACAATGCATGAGCGATGAAGAAACGATTCAAATATTCTATAAGCCTTGAAACCAGTATTATGTTTAGATTTAAATTAAAACAATTAATGGACAACTCGCTCTCGTTGTCTTTGAATAGTCAACTCTGTTTCTTCGCAGAAACTCAGACATTCCGGTATCGTTTTTACTCGTTAAATATATAGACTGGCGTAGATGATCAGACTGCATCATTTGCAATAGTTCTAAACTTTCTACCACAAAGCATCAATCCTTTTTGAAATAAAAAACACTCACCACTTCTTCTAAAGATTGTATTCTTCGTTCAAGCTTGGCAGCCATTTCTTCCATTTTTGACAAATTATTGGCACATCCCTCTTTCATTTCCTTGTGATGTCTCGTTGTACGATTCTCCATGATGTTGATCAACTCCTTACGTGCCATATCAGTCTTGTCGTCCGAATCCTTCTTGTAAGCTAAGGCCTGCGCTTCGAATTTTGCCTCCGCCGCCTTCTCAATTTTGATAATCTCTTTGATTTTGTCGCCCGCGAACTGATCAAGTTGTTCCTTTGCGAACTGGAAGTTTGAAACGGTCTCCTTACGAAGAGTTTCGCAAAACCTTTTGGATTTTTCGTGCAGTTCCGCGGCTGTTTTCTTCGCCCCCTCCTCCAAACGGCGTTCCGTTTCCGCATAACGTGCATCCAACTTTTCTTGTGCTGAAGGTAAACATAGTAACATCATCAGCGTCTCAGCCAAGGTTTTCTTCATGCACTAGTATATGTTTTTTAGGTAAAATAGATGGAATTTGTCGATGGTTTGTTGTGAAAATCCTAAGACAATAGACGAACAAACAAGCAGTTTCCTTCGTGTTTTTGATTCCCTAAAATTCTGTTTTCTAAGGTGCAAATTTTCAGACCAGAGGTCATTTAGTAGTTAAGTCTACAATCCTATATAATTATTTGTTAAACGACTTTAAACGTAGTCACGATAACGGTCTTGTATGAAGTTAGAAAAATAGAGTAACTTTAAATTGCTCTATAGAAACAAGCTCGAACTATTCCTTAACTCGAGATATTTTTCATAAGACGCTGCCTAATTAATACGGACTTGTTGCGAACTTACATTTTCGAAAGGCCTCGTCGAGTTCTTTTTCCTTCTGACTGAACTTTTTTTGCATCGTCTCGAATTCTTTCCTCGTGTCCGCTTGCATTTTATCGAACACCTTTTTGAAATGATCCTCCATTTTAGATTTCAATTCGTTGTATTTCCCAAGCAGCTGGCCTTGGTATTTTGCAAAGGTTTCCTCGTAAAGTTTCGTTTTTTCTTCGGCGATCTCTTCAATCTTTAAAACCTTATCACGTAATTCAACTTCAAGCAGGCTCTGTCTTTCTTCGAGCTGAAAAAAATGTAGTATATTGTCTAAGATACTTGCAAAAGCGTATCAAATGTGGTATAACAACTGCCTAAAAAAGACCAAATATTTCTTTGGCGTTTCCACCTAAGGGCTTTCATGAATAGAGTTAATAGCCGATATAAACAAGGAGGAATTTCGTTTTAAACTAATCGGTATATTTGTTTACATTTATTTTACCATATTTGTTTACCAGTAAGAATGTTTAAATTTTCAATATTTCGTGTAAAATGGTAAATAATGCACCTTTTTACCGGAAGTGGTTAAAATTTATGCATTCTGATTGGGTTACTGAAAATGTAAAAAAGCTTGCTAAAACGAAATCCCTCCTTGTTGTCTACATACATATATAACTTCTCACTTACACTATCAGTCCTGCGTTCGACTTCCTCTTGAGCTTTACTAATATCATTTTTCCAACAATTTTCCATATCAGCACGGTCTAGCTTTTCTTGCTCCAGAATGCTGTGCACGCGTTCATCAATCTTTCCCGGGGCAAGGTGAAACTGCCCCCCACTGCCCGGGCTACCAGACGCCCCTCCGACCGAGGACACAGTTATAACGTCTTCGTTAGCAAACATATCACCTTAAAGTGTAACATTAAAACTCGATTAACGTTTTAATAAACAAACAAAGAGTTACAGTTTCATCCTATTTTAACTAAATCACACAGAAGATTTTCTAAACAAGGTGAATTTAGTTTAAGATCAATCAGCAAGTTTGTTTACGTTTTCAGTAACCCAATCAGAATGCATACATTTTTACCATTTTACATGAAGTATTTCGGCATTCTGACTGGCTTTTCCTTTTGTTTTCTGTTGGACTACGTAATTGATATGCATCAGTTGACTGTATTGTAAAAATGATGCATGACCTTCTGTAAAAAATTATTGTTTTTGTCCTATGCGACTTTCGATACAAAAAATTCTATTAAAAAATTAAAGGTTATCTACAGGGTGTATCAAAAAAGGCAACCACATTTAACTATTCAAAGATATTCACTTTGTGACATAGACAATAAGAAGTACTATTGTACTATTGTGCTTAATAACAATATGAATAATTTATTAAGTGTTGCCTTTTTTATACACCCTGTATGGTCTTTCAACATTATTTTGCAATGCAATCGAGAAAATGGTAGCAAAACGTTGTTGCAAATGTATTTTGCTATACTTGAAGTTCATACCTTTTGGCTGAGGCTTTTTCTCGTCTTGGCGAAAATAAAAACTGTTGTGTAAGTGCGTTTATTGACTTAAATCTACTCAAGAGAATGTTCTCTTTTAAATGGTTTAATTTTTATTAAAATCGGGCAAGTATTTGCACAGAAAATGCAAGTGAAAGTGAGCCAACCATTTTTAAAGGTCATCTGATCAGATGAAAAAGATAATCTTATTAGAGTGCCAACAGAGTCGCCAAGAAGATAAACTTTTCCATTCATTATATAATAAATTATGCAAAAAAATTCCACCGGCAAAGTTTTTAGCGAGATGCGTGAAATAGTTCGCCTGCTTATTCTAAATAAATTATATATATACAAACAATTCAAAAGAAGTCGCAGAGAAAAAGTGCCCGCGGAATCAGGCCTGTGAAGTTGTTGACTAGGGACGAACTGATTGCAACACAGCTGAAACTCAAATCGTCTATGTTATCATGCCAACCCCTCCCTCTACATGCACCGGGAAGATACGATGTCGCTGTAAAAAGAGGTCTTGTATTGACTGGATTTCCACTTGCAGAGAAATGTTCGCTAGCGAAATATTTGCACATTCTTTTAAAATGAGAACAGTCAAGCTGAACTAATGTGTCTTCAAAAGAATATAATTATGCAAGTATATTTTCGCTTCAAATGGAAATCCTCCTTTACGACTTTAAGTAATGATAGCTACTATTTTTATTTTGCATAATTTTTACATCATATTTTACATCATATTTCACATCATATAAGCACATTATTTAAGTTTCACTAGAGTTGCACGAAAGAAAAACAATTATTTAAGTCAATGTAGCATGTTTATGTAACATATCGCATGGTAGAGCTTCATTTACATACGTAGAGTGAAATTCCGCGATTCGTCTTTCCGTATTTCTTGCATCTTCCTGAGCAACATGTCAAGTCCAAGGTGACTCTGCCTTATTTATGCGCTTACAGAAAGTGCCTTTTCTGGCATTGCACTGCAAAAAGAACAACGATGTAGGATAAAATTTATAGAAGACCAGTTTCTCGAGATTCAACATGCAGTGTCACACCAAGTTTATGGGGTCTGTACGTACCTATATGAACAAGCTTTGCTATTGGTTGATGATAACAATAAAACACAATGAACCATAGAAATTGATGAACCGAGAGAACGAATCATCAACACTGTTCACTATTGTTACAAAAAGCCAATCACAAAACTCGTTCATATTAGGTAGATATACTTACTGATACTTACTGTAGAGAGAAGAAATTTTAATTAGTATAAGTTAAGAACGAGTATAACTTCTTTGGAAGTGGCTAAATAACATATTCTTCCTTTAATCTGCAAATTGTTTAAATTAATTGGAGATTGGCATACATACGAGACCTGCTTAATCGCAACTGGTATATATATTCTGCCCCGGACAATGGACGAATAGCGCTTTCGACTAATTTTTGATCGAAGTAACAAGAAGAAAATAAATCACCACAGTAAGAAAGATCTTACTTAAATTAGTGCAAATGCTAAGTTTTGTAAAATACGGAAAATATAGCCAGTTGAAGTTGAATTTGGCATTCTTTTGTATTACGTGTGGAAATGTGTAACTAAATTAGTTACACACTTCCGGCTGTAATACAGAAGTATACAAAATTCGTAACCTTTGCACGGCTATATTTTCCGAAATTTACAACAATTCGCAGCTAAACTTGTAAGTTTTACTAATTTTAGTAAGCTCTTTCAGAAAATATCGCCGGGGAAGAAATTAGTCTAAAGCGCAATCGTCCATTGTTGTTGTTATTATTGCGATATACTTATGTCTAATAGGTTTTCAGAAACAAACCCCCACACCGTTAGTCAATTTTATGTCTTAATTAAATTCAATTAAATTCGGAATTGTGATTGCATATATTTTGTACGTATGCGGAAAGCAAAACTCTCTGCCTACCTTTTTTCTTCTATTTCGGCGATTCCCGCTATTATGTGCCCAGCCAGACATCACTGTTGACGTGGTTACCAAGATCAACAAGAGAATGATGACAAGACGTGACATGTTTGTCATGTTTCCTTTTATTCCTGTGTCAAAGAAGTGCTTAGCAATTCAAAATCTCTCTGCCTATAGACCCGTAGGTTTAGTCTTTCCAGACCCTTTTATGCATGGGGAGCCTCGTTGGAAAAGGGCTTGTACTATCATAAATAACTTATCAGCCATTAAAATCCCTAGAATCTTATAATCTACAGTATTTTTCACCATTTTCGGTAAGAATGTGTCAACTTGAGAACCCAACAAAGTCATTGTCTAACAACAATGTATCAAAGTCAGTTACGGCATTATAACATAACGGCCAGTTTTCGGAAATATTTGAAAAAGTTCGATGAGTCAGGCTATTTAAAGGGAGGCTTCTGACCCAGGGAGCGCACATTCACTGAAAAAAGGATTTGATCAGTTATCATGCATATGAGTGCTTTCCATTAAGCGGCCAAATGGCCAAACCCGTCATATTTTAAATTGAAATAGAGTATTTCGTTAAGAATATAGCGGTGAAACTTTATTTCCCGTGCTAGGCAGATGTAAATAACGATATATTGAAACACTAAAATATCAGTAATATGTCTGTACCGAAATACAACAGGACCGGTCTAGCCGCTTTTTCCATATAAAGGAAAGCGCCCTAGTCCTTTCTTAATCTAAGCCTTTAGTTAACTTAAAAATTTTATAATCTACTGTATCTTCATGATTTTCTGTGGAAATGTGAGTATTAACATCGAACAAATCCTCTTGCATAAAACAACATAATTATCACTGTCGGGCTGCGTCATTTTAAAGATAACAGCCAGTTTTGAAGTATTCGAAAAATTCAACAGTTCTAGAGTTGCACTTTGCTAAAACATAAGAATTTATGTCGTCTTAACTGATGCAACAACCGTGTTTTTTACTATATATGGGGCATTGGTGTAGTAATTATTAGTAATAATTATTCGTAATAAAAATCGTCAACAAATCTTTCGAACAACAGTCTACTTGCATGTCATTTATATATTGTATCAAATCTGATCTCAAGGAGTTATTGAGAATGGTTTTGCTCTCGAAAACGTTTGTGAAGATATTGACAAGACAGCCCTGAGTATACAATATTATTTTGTATTCTTTTTGCAGGCCTGTACGATACGATGAATCCAATCGACAAAGAGTTTCCTGCATAAATTGCCAAGGTAACCATGTATGCTTAATCCCATCCAAACGTTTTATCGAATAGTTGAAATTCTATCGAATAATTTTGAAACGGAAAGGCAAGATGCAACTCGTAATCCTGTCTTACAAAGAACAACGCTATAAAATAAATTAGTCCTGCCTCTTCCAATTAATGTTTTTATTTGACGCGGTCATTAAATATTCGGAACTCAATCACCAAGTATGATATAGATTTACTGTTCTATAACTTGTATTATTGCTACAAATTGAATCCAGTACAAAGGCCTGTTCGAGGAACTTTTTAACCATAAACTTATCCTGCTAAAAATACATTATCTTCGCTTTTTCAGCTCAATCAAATGCTTATTTCCCACGCAAATGCATTGCATACGCAACGCTTGCATATAGTATATATTATATGTAATGCTAACAACTATTCTTTCGACCACGTCCACTAAACCCTGTCCAAACAGAACGAGTTATGTTTCCCGTAACCCCTATAAATCTTATACGTTAGATTATAAGAGTTCGAACGGTTAGATCGGCAAGACACACAAGACAATTATCGTTTTCCCTATGAAAATAGTAAAGTTGTTTCATTCACTGTCGATTCCCATGCAACAAGTTATCTTTAAGGAATTAGTTTCACACATTACCTTGTTCCTTACAAGCAATTTTTTGTCGAACTTAGCTATCTCTTTATTTGCCTTTATTTCGAACTTATCGAGTCTTGAGTCTTTCGCAGAATGACCCACCCGTGTCACATATTCTCAGCGGCTGTAACCCAAGATTTCTCAATTGAGAAGTGCAGGTCTAACCCAGGCCAAATGATCATCTAAATCATTCAATGGCCAGCTATGCGCAAAGGGCAAAGGTCAAATACGTTTGATCCAATAAACGGTGCTTTTCTATGCGCATTTGTGTGTATGCTAATTTGTTTACTCGTCGCGACTGCACTTCGATAGAATTTTAGTATTATTTTGATATATTTCGACATTTAAAATATGGAACCGTCAAAACGTCAAAGAAATCGTATTACGGATGCTCAAAGAATCGTTCTGGAGCGATTATATGGTAATGGAATGGTTGGAACAGGTCATTTATATGACAGCAAAGTCGATCAAGCTACGCAAGAAACGGGCCTGACGAAAACGCAAGTTAAGGTAAACCCAGATTATCTGTGCATCTTAAAGAATTAACCAGAGTGTCTTTTTCAATAGATATATTAAAGTGTAACATGCATAAACAGTGTTTATTAAAAAGTTGTTTGAATTGCTTAATAACTATAAATAAGATTTTATGCTTGTACTTCAAAATTGTGTTGTTGTGCTCCTTCTAATTACTGTATACTATATTATTATATATTGGTTACAATTTTATATGAGTACTACACTGTATATTGCTTATTCCTAGAAATGGATTGGTAACCAAAAAAGGAAACAACCTTCAACCAGCCAAACCTTTGATGAAACATCTACATTGAAGAGGGCCAAACACATAAAAGGACCACATTCATACAATGTATTTTGCAGTGAGTTTTTCAAGTCTGGTTAGTGAAATTGTCTTTATTTAATTTTTGAAATTAACAATATTTATTGCATGGAGCTAGGTCAGGCATTAACAATCAAATTAGATCTTGGTATGGTATCTCCTAAACCTAATTTTTGCCCTGTCATGTGTGTTCACTTGCCCTATAATAAGGCTTCAATAGAGAGGAAGTCTTCATAATTATATTCAATACATTGAAATGGTAATTGAGTTGGAAAGATTACAAAACAAGGGTTGAATGTCTAAATGTTATTTAGTAGCTAATATGCTGCTCAAATTTCTAAAATGAAAAAACAATTGAACTAAATATTAGGCAAAATGTATAGTCATCATATTGAGTTTTCTCTTATTGGATGAGATGAAAAAACAGTTCTTCAAAAATGTTGGTTGATGTGGTTTTTTATCGTGTATCTAAAATAGTTTTTATATCTGTGTTAATTTAGATGAGTGTAAAGGCTTGTCTAATACTGAAAGGAATAAACTAGCTGCAGAAAAGTGGAATTTGCAAAATGAGGATGAAAAAAAGAAATATGGTGAAACTGCTAAAGCCCTTAGCTCAGTTGATATAAAAGTGTTGGATGATGAGCAAAAGAGAAAGCTTATTGAAAGACACTGCAAAAAGCTAGTCGAGGAGGTATACATAGCGGAAACCTTTATTTGGTTTGGCACTTGTAATATTGTTAAATTAGAATAGTTGAGCACTAGGTCTCCCATCCCATTCTTTTGCTATCATTTATCTTGGTTTCTAGAATTTTCTATGTTAGTAACAGGTAAGCTTGGCTACTGTGGATCTGGCTAAATGAGAATAACACAGGTTAATGTAGGGTTAGGACAAGAAATAAGAGCACCTGGCTTTCTAAGGCACCATACAGAGATTAGTATTTCCCTTAGTTTAGTGCCAAAATAGATAAAGAAATAATACATCATAAAAGTATGATAAATAGCATGATTAATGACAAAAAAGCCCCACACTACCAAACTGGCCAGTGCAATAGTTAAACTGTAAGTTGAACAAAAATTAAACGGGGCAATCATTATGTGATCATTAGATGTGTGTTTATCCATAGATCAGGATACTGGAGGATTTGGGCTGCCAGACTTCATCTTTGATGATCAACAATGTAGGCACTGTTTTCCAACTGGGATCCAATGAAGGAAATCATTTTTTATCTTGCAACCCCGATATTGGCATAAAATTTCGTGAGTATTTTGGTAAGTTCTCTACAGGCCACTGGTAAAATAATTTTGTGACAATTTTAGAGCAATTCCAATGGGATTCTATGTTTATAACTAAAGTACCAATGACATGACCTTAGGTAGTTCTGTTAAGAAGTACCGCAGAAATGATGTGCAAGATCTCTTTAACAAGAAATACAGTAAGTCTTCTTTTGTCAGAAAATTGTTCACAACTGCTAATGTGTTTTTAAACTTTAAAGGGCTGCAAATACTGTAACTTAACAATCACAGCTGGTTGTATAGGTTGCGTAGGTAAATCGTAGGTTAAAAGGTTAACCATCTTCTTATACAACCAGCCCTGAAGAATCTATTACAGTACAACTAAACTTTGATGAATACATACTTCACCCGATGATCAGTGGTTTGCGCAATTATTAGCAATATACTATAATGATTCATGAGATGATTCATAAGAGCTAGACTGGATAACCGAAAAGTATAATGTTTACAACATCAGAATTATTTCTAAATTTAAGGTGAAGCGGTTGGAAAGAGCTGCCGGGTGCCGTACTCGAAATGTGGATTCAGAGTTGTTGGTCTCCCTGAAGATATTTCTTTTAAGAAACCATATAACTATGGTTCCTTGCAACTAAAGAAAATCATGGAGGCTGCAGACAAAATAAAATTCATCATTGAAGATCCAACTCTCAACGAACCATTGAATGTTTACCCGACTGCAGTTTCTGGTAACAATGGTGATTTACAAGGAACTGTAAATGTTTTGAAACCTTTACTAGTAAAAATTGCTGGAGAAGATGCTGCGCAAAGGGTGCTGGCCGATTCTGAGAAGCGAATTATGGAGGAGGAGATTGAGGTGGTTGATTTGCATTTAAGTGATGAAGAGAAGGCAAACTTATATGGTTTGTGTGAAGGTTATTTTTCACCTGATGCATGGTTAGCAGTTGGACATAACATGCAACATTCAAGACAGGTTGAAAACATAGTTTTACCTGTACACACGACTGCAGAAGAAAGATTTTGGCTGTTTCGTACGAATGATAAGCCATTGCGTATAGCCAAGTGTGTATCCTCGGCCAAAATACGGGGTCAGTGGTTGGATCTTGTAGATGATGACACATACACATTCTTGCATAGTGACATTATTACGGGTAAGAACCTTATTCGTTCTGCTCATGGACCATTATATTTTTCAATAGAGGAAGCAGCTACTGAAAATTTTAAGTTACCAAAACAATTTAGATTTGCGATCGAAGGAGTTTTAGGTAAACTACGTAATGAAAATACTTGCGAATGGAAATGATGTCAAATTTTTTATCAGGGTTAATTATTATAGTCAATTGGTACCAGGGCCGTTGCTAGATTGCTTAATTGGGGGGGGGGAGATATAATCATGTATAGTATTCATGATCAGTTTGGCATAAAACGAATGATATGAATACACATGCACTCCCCTCCCCCAATAAGGCTTCTAGCTCGGGCTCTGGTTGGTTCATCGTAGACTCATGTACTTCATAGACTCCAGTTTAAATATTTTCTCAATATATATCATGTGCTTCAGTCATTTATCACGATAAATACCGAATAAAAATGCAGTATTTATTAAATGCAATATATATATATATATATAAATGCAAAAATTAAATATCGGAAGGTTTCAGGTTACAAATTTATATCGATATATTTAAACATAATATTTTCCACAGTTCGGTTTTGTGCTAGAGTAATATTTGTCACACACGGTGCATGAGAAAAAATCAAAGCACACGTGTGTATGAATCGCCCAGTTACTGCATTTCTTGCAGTCAAACCTTTCCTTTAAACAGGGTTTTCTGCAGAAAATAAAAAAGGCTGTGTCTAGTTCTGGACACACACATTTGCCACCTGTTGTCTCACAAGCCATGCATAGATCCACAGTCTTCTGACGTATGTTTGGAAGACATCTTAATCGCTGAAAGTAGCTGTTTAACGGCCTTCTGTGGTAATTTAGGGCCTTTAGAAAATCTAATGGCACTTCGCCAAACACATCTTTGCATAGTTTGGTTTTGTGATAGTCTTCCAATGATTGATTTTCTCTTATAAAAGATAGTAAAGATCCAAGTTTGAACGAGTAAGTATTGTGGATCAAAAATCTTAGAGTATGAGCACACCATTCCCCAATGAAATTATTCGATGATTCAAGCGAAACCAATTGGTCGGAAGAATTCTGATTCATTTGGTCCTCAGATGCTGTTGCAATTTTACTTCTGAATTTTAATTCAAAATTGCCTCTTTTAACAAACTTTTGCTTTGTAGACGTACTTTGTTTGGAAAACAAACGCCTTTTTACAATACATTTTTTATGTGTAGAGGAACTTGATGTGCTGGCGACACTTGATGTGCTGGCGACACTTGATTTTCTGGCTGAAATTTTTCCGTCACTGAGGTCTTTACTTTTTCCAAGATTAGCAATGACATAATTTGTTTTTCCTTGTCGAAGATTTTCCAAATAAGCACTTTTGTAAGCGCCCGGGTGAGGTAGGCTGTCGTTCATTGCCCTAGTTGTACCCTTATGGAATACTGAGAGATGATTATCCAAGCGTTTCATGTAATTTCCATACTGGGGGCAGGTTGAAATTCGACAGACACCGTCTTTTCCCTATAAAATTATTCGGAATTATTTAGGTTAAAAATATGAAGATATCAAGAGTGGTAAGAGCGTAGAAATATTTCATACTTTCAGTAGGTAGGAAGGAAAGGGCCTTCATTCAAAGACCTTTACTATTTAAAGTTAAAATTTGTTAAAATTAGCCCTGTATATACTGTGATATACACTAGTCTCAATACATCTTCATACACGCCCCTTCTTTCATCAATGTATTACCAACTGTACTATATAAGTAGGTAGTTATTCTTTAACTATAGTATCATGCTGTGCTTCAAAGATTTCATTCACGATTTAATTATCTTTTCGTAGCGCAATTCTAGGGAAACGAGCCATTTTTGTTTGTATATATAATGAAATGGCAATCGCCC